GTGCCTTGACGTTTCATGATACTTAGTGCCATAAAATCGCGTGTTTTTCCACGAGGAAATCGGGCCTGAACTTTTGTACACGGATTTTGAGCAATTTCGCGTGAATAGGTCGGCAGGGCCAATGCATACTTGGAATACTTGGAATATCATAGGAGGGTGCTCGCAGATCTTCCTAATGAGCTTATTGGAAAGCTCGTTGAATTCTGCTGAAGTTACAGACAATAGCATATTGTATTTGGAGCGCCCTGTAGAATTGTCGTCACCAGGGATCGAACCGGGGTGGTTCGGTTCCCTCGTTAAACTACTGATGTTTAGGGTGTCCAAGGCTTCGATCTGACTAAGGAGAATTCGCGGTTGCGATATACTCCGATAACGATATGTCAGGAAGAGTTAGTGTACCATAAAAATATCAATTATGAGGTAGGAACTGTCGGTGTGAAGTTTATGCAACTTTCTTGACGTCAATTATCTCCCTTCCTAGAGTCGCGTAGATTGGCTAAGTAAAATAGTGTGAACCTCCAAGATTGTTAAGTTGGTTTTGCAAGAAGTTGTCGATGTATCTATTCACGTTGATACGTTGTTAGTGCGTAGGATGGTGATTCAGGAACGTGGGATAAGATTCCCGAGGTTCATCGAGCAAATGTTCGATAACCCCTTTTATGGTGAGTATTTTGGTGGCTATCCAGCGCCGGCACCATTCAAAGTCAAGTTCATCGAAAATCCGAAGTCGAAAGTGAAGGTCTTTATTGGTGAGTTGGTAACTTATCGGTCTAATGACCTAGAGGGCGTGGGTTCGATTCTTGGTCGGCTCATTTATGTCAACTTGATTTACTACTTACTAGGTGTGACTATGTATCAAGAGCCCTGTGGTGGACTGGATGATATTAGGAAGGCGGGTACGACTTTCATCAGAATGAACCCGGATGCTGATCGTCCGGAAGGTTTCGCAGAACAGGCTAAGGAGTCTGGTGGTAATAATAGTAGAGCTTTACAACCCGTTTTACGTGAGGTGGCATATTCCGAAAAACCCGATATTCGCGGTGATATGCAGGGGTCGTTAAATATGTTTTTCACTGGTGTTTTTCATATCACTAGGGTGGTGAAACTCCAGTATTGATATCTGCCGTAAGCGGTTGGTATTTCAGCGTACTTGTATGAAAGTGTAGTTTTCTTTAAGTGGTGAGTGCAATGTATGAGGACAACAATTAAAGGTGTCGATTTTAGATTTGTAGTATCATATTGGAGTTTCACAATCCGTTTTACGTGAAGTAACGTAATACTTAGTGAAAAACGCGATATTCGCGGTGATATGCAGTAGTCGTGAAATATAGTTTTTCCACTAGTGTTTTTCATATCACGAGGGTGGTGAAACTCCAATGACTTGAAAGTATTCAATCGATAATTGTTATATATATATATACGTGATCGTAGATATATTCTCAAATAGTATATGTGAACTCGATTGGTGGTCACGTTTTAGGAGTGCCCGGCACGCTGGTGGGCATACTGCAAAATATCCGTAAATTCGTGGACCAAACCAAATACAACTGGGATGAGATTTGCGTTTGTCTGCTCGCGGACGGTCGGACGAGGTAGTAACAAGGTCGTCGTCGTGGTATCGCGCATTCTGAATGGAGTTTCCCCCGTGATATGAGATAGCGCGAATATCAGGTTTTTCACAGAGTTTTTCCCCACTCCACGTAGAACGGGTGAAAATCCTACGTACTTGTTGGAAAATTTGATCGCTATTTTTGGGAGAGTTCTTCTTAGTTGAGCGTATGAAGACGAGTGTAATTTTGTGGCGCGCGGTCAAATTGTGGAATATTGGTAGAATTTATAATATGTCAGGATTGATGGACGATTCAATAACCTTGTTGCTCTGCAGCGGATGGGCATCTATCTTGATTTGGAAGAGATGTACAGAGAAAGTAACCTTTTAGGACGAGGGATTATTTCCGTTCGGAATAAATTACCCATATATTTTTCAGACGGCTTAATGGATATTCACGGTCGAATACAGCCGATCGATCGCTATAATATTGATAGTATTGATGATAAGAAGGCGTCGCG